TTGTTATTATCAATGTCTAGTGAACTGAAGGTAAACTTATATTTTACACACATAGTTTAGGGCAATTATCTAGGAAATTTATGTGAACCAATTCCTATTACTTCTTCATACCTATTTTGCTCTATTGTTCATTAAATATACTAAGACTGATAATGGAAACTTTTTTTTTTTTTTACAAAGTTAGATTTAATTATCTGAACTTTTCTTTCTACTTCACTTCGCACATGTAAATATAATCTGATGGCCTTATCTCACACTACGGTAAATTTCTATGTGATGAAGAGTAATAAGTAATTATGTCACAACAATTATATGTGATCTATTAATTAGCACTCTGAATACTTCCAGAGTAGCAATTACTTGTTATTGCGTAGAACATACACTATAAAATGGTCTTCAGATAATGAAAGAAACTTTACTTAAAAATACATACATTTCTATAATGCTTATGTAATTAAATTTCAATAATTTTTATGCACTATGAAAGCACACTGTAAACATCTAGCTGCTTTTGCATAAAGATTTATAACAGTATCCTATTGTGTTTTAGAGTGAGCACTCGTATTTCCTGAAATACTGACTCCACCTTCCTTCTATGGGTGTCTTAAGATGGGACATTCTCTAGAGATGTCAGAACACTGATTTCATGAATTGACTATCCTTTTGAATTCTCTGGAGAGCTTCTTAGGCTGATATAGACGTTATTACTCCTTACACAGGAATAAAATATTTTCAGGATTCTCATAGACACTGACATGTACTTGCTGGTTGTTGAAATGTTTTTAGTCAAAGCTTCAGGACATTTATCTACCTCTGCTGCACTGAGATTTCTCTCTCTTTTTTTTCTGGAGAGATGGTTTCTCAACTGATTGAAAGATAACTGGGAGAAGAATGTGTTAACTACTGTCACGGTTATAGGGTCTTTGATTTCTTTTCTCTGTTAGGCAAAATTGATAAACAGGAAGAAACAACAGTGAACAAATGGGGACATACTTGCCACTAAAAAGTTGTACATTGCTGAAAACACTCCTGTATGATTGACTATGCCTTATGCCAACTTCAAAATGCATGATGGCACCAGCTCCCATGAACTTTTAATGAATGTGTTTACCATTGAAGTGTATAGCCAGTGTTTGACCATTAAAAGATGTATGCAGTATGGAATGAAATATTTATGTTTAAAAATGAAGTCAGTTGTAGTTCTTATTCAAAAGGGTTTTTTCCAAGGATTTTAATTATTACTGTAGTTACAGTTGTCTTGATTTGCATTGTATAGATTGATAAGAGAATGGAGAATGTTTTGGGTACAATTGAGAATTAGTAGTGTTTATTTTAGTTGGAACTTGCCATTCTAATATGATTCCTTACTTTTCTCATTTATTAACTATCTTCAGGTGTCATGATACATCTAATTTCTATATTAAATCCCATTTTTATTCATTGGATGATAATTTATTACTTTAGTAAAATCATAAGACATCTTTATGATAGCCTAATAACCTCACTTACTGTAAAACATTTCAAATTTTATAGGCGAAAATTTGTTAAAACTTTATGAAATCGTCTTCAAAACATATAATCTGCTCTTCAGCATATGATATGTCCAATAAAGACAATGGATAAAGGCAATATTTAATATACCTAGCATGCTTCCTAAATGCCAGAGAGCCAGGTTACAAACAATGCATGTCTGATTATATAACACCAAGCCAAAAGAATTACAGAAGTGTTATCTAGCCCCACTTTCCTGATAGTGATATGGAGACTGGGAAAGGATATATATCAAGAACATATCATAGCTAGTGAACCTATGACTCAAATTCAGATATACCTGTGTTTAAAGATCAGATTCTTTATACCAGTGTTTTTCAACCTTTTTAATCTCATGGCACATTTGAACCTAAAGTTAAACTTCCATTATACACTTAAATTATATTGATAAAAAAAAAAAAGTAAAAAAGAATACTGTGCTTTGGACTTCTTTTGAAAATAGTTTAATGATCTTTAAAAATTTTCATAGCACACCTAAACTCCTCTCATGGCACACAAGTGTGCCAGGGCATACTGGTTGAAAATCATTGCTTTACCCATACTTCTTTTTTTTCTTCATAGGTAGTGACTGTTGCAATGATTGAAGTGATATTCGTGAATATTTTAAGACTATTTTTAAGGTAGTACATGGTAATTATGTTATCCTGAGAATAGTGTAATAAAATACCATAGTACCCTATCCTAAGGATAATGCAATTATGCAATAGGGTGATAGTATCCTATTACCCTATTCTGAGGATAATATAATTACATGAAATAAATGATTGGCTTACACAGAATGAATAATTTTGTAAATCCATAGTCACCAATATTTGAAACCAGGATGCATTTTGTTTTTGTAGGTTCTGATACGGGTTAGTGCTGAAGTTTTTGCTTCTAGCTGGTTCTGATTACTAATGAGAGAGAAAGCACTCTACTATAAACATAAGCAGTACTGAAATTTAATATTTGTAATATGTGCACCTTTCCAAGCAAAGGTGACATACTCTCAGGATGAAATAAAATAAAATGTTGAGGTATAAATTCAGTGCCACTTGTACTGAAACAAGATTAAAAAGGAAGTTAAGGGAAACCAAGGTAATGGCAAAAGGCCTATGCAATATTAGAAAAGATACAGAAACTAACAGCTGGAATTGAATATTGCAAGTGAACTTAAAATAATTGATTGAATGTACAGGAATCTATTATTGTCCACTCAGTTTACACAAACTTTTTCATAGGTACACAGAGATTTGCTATAACTAATTATGTTGATAACGTGACACTATTTTCTAACTAAAATTTAATCCAATCTTATAACAGGAAGACAAAATTGATCTGGAAAATTTAATATGATTATCTGTCATATTCAAGGATGTGCTATGATGGTAACTGGAGGTTAGTTTTCATGATTATAAAATATGATCATTTACTGTGCTCTTACATCTTCACAAATCTGAGAAAACAAACAACAATATTGTATAAGAGATTGTGGATAACAAGTTCTATACTACTATCATAAGAAACACTGTGAAGAAATAGGTATATATAATTTCCAACCATAAACCAGCATGCTTTCTAATTTTTAGGTATTTTAGCAAGCTGTTGGCATGTTCTAAGTGTGTATAAGAATACACACACACACATGCACACACAAAGTATAAGTACCCATTACTCCCTTCTTGTCATTTCAAAGGGTTGAACGTAGTCTGTAAAGAGCAATATTGCAGGGGAGTTTACAATGTTGCTAGTCCACAGTGCATAGCTGGTGCTATCAAGAAAATATGACCATTTGTCTTGGCAACACTGGCCACGATAGATTTAACTAAAGATGAACGTGTCTTGGCATAAGACAGCCATACCCAGATAGGCCAATGCCCATCATACGGACTTACATGAAAAAAGCATGCCAATATAGAATGCTCTGTACACTATAACAAGTACCTGACTTGTGACTGAAATAGGAAATACCATTAGATCCTCAGGAGCTGGTGGGGAGAAGCAGAAGTTGAGAAGCAGAGAGATGGTGGTCTATGGATATCACAAATAAACTGCAGTTATAAGGTTGGTAGAATGGAAATAAAAGAGGTTAATTGCTTTAAAGCAATGAGAAGAAACAAATTTTCTGACTTGTCCTCATGGATAAGCACAAGAAGTGTGCACTCTCTTGTGGAAGGGTGGCAGGGTCATCTCATCCTGTGTGGTATTGCTGACACCCCATACAGGGGTAAGACTTTTCCCTTTTTCTACATTTTTCTCTGTGGTTTAGTCCCATTAACTGATTCAAATTGAGCATGACTATTTTTCTGGCAAATGATAAGACTAATAGATTCAACACCTTATGAATTCATAGGTGATGGAAGAGGCAGCAATGTGTAGTGACTATAAGTACATGTTTGGAGTTCACCTACTTTGATTCAAATGCAACTGAGGCTACTTGATAGCTTTGCAGCCTTGGAAAAGTTTGTTCAGGTGTTTAAACTTTGTTTATATGTTCTTCAAAATGAAATTAATCTCAGTACTATTCTATAGGGGATAGAGATATTAAGAAATAGAGATAATTGACATAACATACCTCAAACTGTTCAAATGCTAAGAAAATGGCAGCTGTTATTACAAACAGGACACTTTGCTATTAGATCCACACCTTACTTGTCAAGTAGAAAAAATCATAGGGATTCTC